CAGGCTGGTCAGGCCCTTTGGTCTACTTGCTTTGAGGTTAAGAAGCTGCTTGTGATGATACAAGGGGCAGCTGACTTAAATTTCCCCAGATCCATCTTACAGGGGCTCAGGTAGGAGGGGAGAAGTCCCCTGATGTGGAGAGAAAACCCACCACTGGCTTCTTGGGGAGAGGTGACCCCCAGGCAAGGCAGCTCTGCTGACAAGCCGGGGAGGAAGGTAGGTGGTCATGCAAGGAGTTCTCCCCCGAGTTCTGACACCTCCACCTCCAGAACTGGAGTTTGGGTTATTTTTCCATGAAAGAAGATGTGGGGAGAGGAAACCATAGCCCACTCTAAGCTATTCTGATCATTGCAGTGTGCCACCACCCTTCCTCATCACCCCCGTGCATTATTTTTAGGGTTTGTTTGCCTCACTTAACTCCAGCTCATTCTTTCTTAGGGTGACAAGGACTTCCCTCCCGCAGCTACCCAGGTGGCACATCAGAAACCACAGCTGTGCCTGGAGAAGCTTCCCCTTCACCGTCATATTAAGCAGTTCATTCACCGGCAAGCGATGGGAAGCAGCGCCTGGGACAGCGCAAGAAGGGAGAGGACAAACCAGTGCCTGCTCTGAGGTGGATGGGAGCAAACTGCGTTTAGTGAGGCCTCATTCCAGTTTACCTCCCACCCAGCCCAGATCTGTTCGACACTGAGAGCTCTTAAACCCTACCTTAAAAATACACACCAGCACCTGCGCACAGATAAAGAACTGGCAGGGAAGGAGGAATGATTAGCAGCGATACTTTATTCAGAGCAATGAGTAGTCCAGGGCTTCTGAGCAACCAAGATGTTTCCCACAACGGCTTGGAGAAGGGACTGGAGGAACCCCCTGGAGTCCACATGGCTGTGACTAAGGTGGTAGATGTCTCTCCTGCTTTTGATGTAGTTCATTGGAGACCAGTGGCAACTTTCTGTAAGGAGGGCCAGGCATTCTTAATTGACTTTGTAAAGAAGATTTAAAACTGAGGTTGGTCCTAGTCCCACAGTGAACTGTAAGAGGAAACTTCTTTGTCTTGCTGCTGAAAGGCACTAAAATGGGTTAAATCCATCCTAGAAATGGGCCTTTTTTCTGTAACAGGTTCTGAGTCATTTGGCAGGGATATTTGTGGCCTAAGGTGTGATCTTGGATGGTTGCTTGGTGGGCTGAGTTTTGCTGGTTTAAATTAGGGTTGCAAGTTGGAGTCTCTGTTTTCTTAAAATTCAGGAACTTCCCTGTTTGAAAGCTTTCACAGTGGCCTCTGAGAAGCACAGGAACTGTTAAAAGCATGGTGGCTTTCTGCAAATCCCCAGTTCTGTTGAATATTTTGTGTGCTCTAGTTCAGAGCTCCTGTTTCAGCAGGCTGCATCTCTTGCACAAGTGAGCTCCTTGGACTCGGGGCAGTTGAGACTTCTGACCTACTTGTGGTAAGTGAGACCTAATGTTTATTTAAGGAGCCTTGGGTTTAGGCTGTTATTATCTAGAGTTGTATTGTGGTGCTATGGTCTTGAGACGCCCCTTATTGCTGCTTGAACCTCTGAGCTGGATGCTGAAACTAGCCCAATACTTTTTCTCTAGGGAGAAACCGTGGGAGATGTGCGCTGTTTGGTGAAAGCAGAAATGGTCCTTAGTTTTGGCACTCAAATGTCAACTTCATGTCCTCTGGTTTTCTTTGAGGTTCCTTCCTCTTTGATTCCATGGCCGCAGTTATAAGACCCTTTTTGTAAAGGGTATCGATCATCTGCATGTACCTTGAGGCATAAATTAACGGGGGAGGTCAGGAAGAAATGTTCCGTGCACGTTAACCGTGGCACATTGGCGTGGTGCGTTGCAGAGCTGGATTAGATAGACAGCTCATCTCGACTAGCTCGGCAATTGCTGCTCTTACCTTGTATGTAGGTGTTCTAGGCACCAGAGCGGCGGTCACTGCCTCTCCCTGTCAGCAATTTGCACAGTAATATGGTATTTCATTACTGACCTTTTTAAATTTAAAAGTAAACAACAAAATGTTGTAACAAAGGCTTTTCACATAAACATTAATAAGTAGCCGTCAGGTCCAGTAGTGGAGCGGTGTTAAGATGGTTGGGTTAATAGTTAAAATAAAGAGTAGTACTTATTCTGTTGATGACTTGTTACAGATTAAGTAAACCAACTTTTTTCCTACTTTAGTTTATTTTACATGCTCTTTTTCCTGCAGAGCAGTACTGATATGAAGCTAGTTTGATCAACAAACAGCTCTTGACAGGACCAGAAGGATGTGATATGAACTATTATGATAGATACAAGATGCATCCTGTGGAGGAAATACAATGGAAAAACAAAGTTTTTTTAAATTCTTATAATTTATTTTCCACAAATAGCAAAATACAGTCAGTTTTCAGACTTCAGTGGGGAATCTCAAGTTAGGATCTTAGGCCGATGTTAACATGATTCATCTAAATAAGTGGCAGGCTTGTTCTGCCTGTTAAACTTTAAAAAAAAAAAAAAAAAAGGAAAAGCCATACACTCTGGAGTCACCGCTGTCTTGTTGAGGAGGCACCAGATGCAGCTGTCCCAGGTGATGCTTTTAGTATCTCATTTGTATGGAAGCAGCTGCATGTTTTCCTATTTAGAATACATCTAATCGATAAAGACCTGAAAACTTCTCAGTTTCTAGGAGGAGAATGGCTTTTATCAAACAGGAGACAAATACAATTGCATGTTTTGGTGAAGCAATTTTCCTTGCTAGAATAAGTCAGGTGAATGTATTTTGCATAAACAGTTTTAGTTAAAGCAGTGTATTTTCAGGGTACATTCATGTACATATTTAACTTCTCCTGTGTAAAGCAGCTTTATGTATATGAATATACTTTAAGAATATATTGTTACTGATGAAGAAAACTAAAAAGACCTTGTATTATGGGTATTCCTTGTTCTGGCAAAGTTCTTGTTAGCTGAGTGTCTTTCCTCAGAGGACTATAGGAATAAACCAAGAACAAGTGACTATTCAGTGTCAGTCGTAACCCCCCATTTCATAGGACAGAGAAGCAGCACTTCTGTACACGTTACATGGGCGTTAGAAAAGAAAATGCGTTAAATGGTTGGATGGGATTGTACTTCAGTGCAGACAGGTAATGTGGAGCAGAATGTGCTTTCTTTCTGAATCCCAGCTCTTGCCAAAATCCCACACCCCAGAGCCAAATGATTTATGAAGAAGAATTTATGATGATGGCAGCCAGCTATGTAACTGGGAACATTGTCTCAAGACCAGCTAATTGAATACCTCCCTTGGCAGGTTGACTTTAATTCTCGTGTCTCTAGAGCAATGTTTTTTGACCTATGCTCCAGAGGATTCCCTGTATCATTCCTAATGGATCCACGGGTGATATTGAAAAAAGTATAAATATTTTTTTAGTAAGCGTGTCTTGCTCTGCATGGCTCTGTATGTCCATTGGAACATGCCGTACAGTTTCCACAAAACTGCTGAGCTGCTGCTCCGGAGGTGAGGCTGTGTGCCTCTGCTGGGTTAGCCTGCTCCTGCTCAGCGCCAGGGTTCCTGGCCAAGACCTCTCGGCACCGGTGTCTGGCTCTGCGGGGAGCCGTGCGCTGCGGGGATTAGAGCATGCGAGTCGAGAACAGATGCACAAACAATTACAGCAACTCCTCCCCAGTTGACGTTCCGATGTCCCGCGGCAGCAGTTCCCAGGGTCGGCCGGAATCTTCGCTCTTCTAGTAAAAGGACCAACTGGCATTACATTCTGGGCTTCTTTTCAAGGTCTTATTTTACATGACAATAATCTGTTGTTCAGCTGCCGTGTTCCTTTCAAGTACGTGACCCTGGCAGTAACCTTCAACACGTGATTGTCCTTTGCATTTAAATCAAACCACAGTGAACGGCATCTTTATTAGCACTGACAGTATGAATGCAAAACACGTTTTCAGTAGCTTATAAGTGAAATATATATCTGGCTTAAAAGCCAGCTGCTAAAGTTCTTCTAGAAAGACACGTTGATTGGGAAGGGAGAAGAAAACCCACATTCCTGTTTATCTCTTGAGGTCAGCAAGCAACAGCACAGAAGGTCCCCATGCGTATGTGAAAATCGGCAGACTGTGTCTGCAGCAGCCGATAAAGCTAGGTACAGGCAAGCTTCAGCTACTAGCAGACTGAAGTGGTTGGACCATGGACACAACAGTGTCCCAGATTTGAGCATTTTTGCCTTAAGAAATGCATATGGATTTGCCCTGGGCTTGAATCTTTAAAATTCTGGGGATTCTGGCACCAGCCGACTAAAACACATGCTTTATATCGAGTGAGTGAACGGTCCCTCAGCACGTCAGGAGTAAGGACGACGTTGGGACAAGCTGGATGGCTGAGCGATAAAAATGTACTTTAGGCACCTGGTTGGATTGGTGCAGAAATGTCTGTTTCTTAGTTCAAGTTTGTATGCTTGGCGATTGGGAAGACATTGGTTATTTGGAGCTTGTAACTCATTTGTCTTTGTGCAAAAGGTTTGACTTGAAACTGTGCTAGCTACCCTTGCATCAGCCTTGTGCAGGCAGGTGACCTTTCAGGAGCTAAAGGAGCCTTTATTTCCAGAGTGGAGCAGCATTTCTAAAGAATGCAAGTCGATGTTGGGGCTGAATAACTTGTGCTCCTTAGGATGCGCCTTCGTTATGGGTGAAACACCAGATAAAGGCGGAAGTGAAGTGGGATTTGTACTTTTCCTGACGAACGTGACAGTCGCCACAATAATACACAAAGTTATTGAAATTACGTGTCTCATATAGATTTAGCATTAGTTACGGAAATTTCTCACTTTTCACGGGGGAAGGCAGGGCAGAGAGTTGTGTGCTAGGATACTTCACAGTTTATATTGCATATTGGATTAAGCTTGGAGCCTGAGGCTGCTGGTGCTGTTTTGTCTTGAAGGCTGAATCAGTGCAATGGGCATCATTTTCGTGGGTATGGAAGAGCAATAGGCAGTCTTGTTAAAAGCAACAGTTCAGCTCTAAAACAAGCAATTCTGTTGCACAAATGTCTGTTTCTCTTGGTATTTGTTGCTTTTCAGGGAAAATGTTCTATTTTGAGCATTTCTCAATTTTGACTAGGAAGGACTAAAGGTGAAATGACATGATATATTCTAGACACGCTGGGCTCCCTCTCCCTTGCTTTGCTATTTGTCACAGGTTTACTGAAGTCTCTCCATCCATGGGAGATGGATGCTAGTGGTGCTCGTTGCCTGAAATATGGGGAGGCTCCTGGGTTTTCCTCTTACAGCTGCCTTGCCTACAGTAGTGGCAGGTCTTGCTCTACCGGTCGTTCAGAATAGAGGAAGTGTACAAAACTACTCCAGGTTGGTGAAAGCCTGCCTGGAGCTTGGCTCATGGGGAGAAGGTGGTGGTTGTCTCTGTCTCCATGGCAAAGGAGAACCTCTTGCTCTCACGGCAGGTGGAGAGCTGCCAGAGACGCTCCTGGCTCAGGCAGCCCAGCTCCTTCAGAAGCTTGAAGAGGTCGTTGCGGAATTTGACGCCAATGAAGGCATAGAGGAAAGGATTGAGGCAGCATCGGAAGCAGGCCAGAGTGTAGGTCACGTCGTCCGCCACGTCAAGCTTCTTGCTCTCCTCACACGAGGTGGTGTGGTTGAAGGCTGAGATGGTCTTGGCCAGCATGACGCTGTTGTAGGGCAGCTGGAAGACAACGAAGACAATTACCACAGCAATTATGACCTTGATGGCTTTATTCTTCTCAAAGTTTCGGGCCTGGAGTAAAGTTTTGATGATGATGAGGTAGCAAACAGACATGACCAGTAGGGGAAATAAGAAGCCAAAAACCATTTGGGACACTTTGATGCCAGTGTTGAAGGTCTGCAAGTCATTAGCGATGATGGAACAACGGGGATGGCTGTCTGGGTTATTTACACCACTGTGAACCAGCTCAGGGATTGAGAGGATGAAGGCCAGGAGCCAAATGAGGATGCATGTGACCTTGCTAATCAATATCATGCGGGGACGGAAGCGGTGGGCCGAGGCAGCCTGAACGATGGCAAAGTACCTGTCGATGCTGATGGACAGGAGGAGTAGCATCCCACTGAAGAAACTCATTTTGCAGATGCAATAGACGGCTTTGCAGGCAAACTCCCCAAAACGCCAGTGCATGGCTGCACTTGTGGCCCAGAAGGGGAGGGGCAGCAGGAAGAGGATGTCTGCCAGAGCCAGGTTCAGCAAATAGATGTCTGTCATGGTCTTGAGCCTCTTGAAGTAGATGTAGGTGAGCATCACCAGCCCGTTCCCCAGCAGCCCCGTGAAGCAGATGAGGGAGTACATGGCTGGGAGGAAGGCAGCGCGGAAGTTACGGACTTCCTCCTTCTCACACAGGATCTCGAACATGGTGTAGTCGATGGTGGTGTTGGAGTCATAGTAATCGGTGACATTGTTCCCAGCGCATAACTAGAACAGGGAAGAAAAGAGGCATGTTTTGGGACAGGTACCGTGCCCCTCCGTGGCTGCGGCAGGGAGCGAGCCTGGTGCCGGCCTGTGAAGCAGGCAAGAGTACCCAGCCGCAGAGGAGTCCTGGGGAGTTCCCAAGTGTTGGCTCATGCCAACATCATGAACAGAGTTGGCAAGGTCTCGTGGCTGAGAACGTTTCCCGTAGGTATGTGGGGTTTGGGGTTTTTTTGGGGCTCAGAGTGGGAACGCCACAAGAAATGGTTAGTGCTCAGTCAAAGTAACACCTGCAAACTCTCAAACGCGTGGCTGCTCTCCAGAGTGTTTCAGCACCCACATACAGCTGTATGTACAGAGTCAGCTGTCAGATAAAACAGGAAAAACAATACATCCTTCAGGGTTGTGCTTCGCTCAGGGTGACGTTTCCTTTGACTGACTCTACTCGTTTGGCTTTTTCTAACTTCAGAATTCCCTCCCTTCTCCCGTCTGAGATACTCCTGTTGCTCACGTCCCCTTCTCGCTTGCGGCCCTGCTAGAAGAGGGCTGCAGCGGTTGTGTTTGTAACCGGCAGCAACGTGGCACGGCGAGCGCCAGCGTCCTGCCGGGCTTCCCGCTCCGGTGGCGCCGCGTCCCGCC